TGCCCACCGTGCATACACACTGCACACTGCACACTGTGCGGCGCGCTGCTGGGCGCACACAAGGCGCTGCCGCCGCGCCCCGACCTGCAGCCGCCACCACGCCTCGACCGCTCGCTGCCCACCGTGCGTACACACTGCACACTGCCCACCGTGCATACACACTGCACACTGCAGGCTCCACACTGTGCGGCGCGCTGCTGGGCACACACACGGCGCTGCCGCCGCGCCCCGACCCGCAGCCGCCGCCGCGCCTCGACCGCTCGCTGCCCACCGTGCGTACACACTGCACACTGCACACTGCCCACCGTGCATACACACTGCACACTGCACACTGCACACTGTGCGGCGCGCTGCTGGGCGCACACAAGGCGCTGCCGCCGCGCCCCGACCCGTAGCCGCCGCCGCGCCTCGACCGCTCGCTGCCCACCGTGCGTACACACTGCACACTGCACACTGCACACTGCACACTGTTCGGCGCGCTGCTGGGCGCACACACGGCGCTGCCGCCGCGCCCCGACCCGCAGCCGCCACCGCGCCTCGACCGCTCGGTGCCCACCGTGCGTACACACTGCACACTGCACACTGCCCACCGTGCATACACACTGCACACTGCACACTGCACACTGTGCGGCGCGCTGCTGGGCGCACACAAGGCGCTGCCGCCGCGCCCCGACCCGCAGCCGCCGCCGCGCTTCGACCGCTCGCTGCCCACCGTGCGTACACACTGCACACTGCACACTGCACACTGCACACTGCCCACCGTGCATACACACTGCACACTGCACACTGTGCGGCGCGCTGCTGGGCGCACACACGGCGCTGCCGCCGCGCCCCTACCCGCAGCCGCCGCCGCGCCTCGACCGCTCGCTGCCCACCGTGCGTACACACTGCACACTGCACACTGCCCACCGTGCGTACACACTGCACACTGCACACTGCCCACCGTGCATACACACTTCACACTGCACACTGTGCGGCGCGCTGCTGGGCGCACACACGGCGCTGCCGCTGCGCCCCGACCCGCAGCCGCCGCCGCGCCTCGACCGCTCGCTGCCCACCGTGCGTACACACTGCACACTGCACACTGCACACTGCACACTGTGCGGCGCGCTGCTGGGCGCACACACGGCGCTGCCGCCGCGCCCCGACCCGCAGCCGCCACCGCGCCTCGATCGCTCGCTGCCCACCGTGCGTACACACTGCACACTGCACACTGCCCACCGTGCATACACACTGCACACTGCACAATGCACACTGCACACTGTGCGGCGCGCTGCTGGGCGCACACAAGGCGCTGCCGCCGCGCCCCGACCCGCAGCCGCCGCCGCGCCTCGACCGCTCGCTGCCCACCGTGCGTACACACTGCACACTGCACACTGCCCACCGTGCATACACACTGCACACTGCACACTGCACACTGTGCGGCGCGCTGCTGGGCGCACACAAGGCGCTGCCGCCGCGCCCCGATCCGCAGCCGCAGCCGCGCCTCGACCGCTCGCTGCCCACCGTGCGTACACACTGCACACTGCACGCTGCCCACCGTGCGTACACACTGCACACTGCACGCTGCCCACCGTGCGTATACACTGCTCACTGCACACTGTGCGGCGCGCTGCTGGGCGCACACACGGCGCTGCCGCCGCGCCCCGACCCGCAGCCGCCGCCGCGCCTCGACCGCTCGCTGCCCACCGTGCGTACACACTGCACACTGCACACTGCACACTGCACACTGTGCGGCGCGCTGCTGGGCGCACACACGGCGCTGCCGCCGCGCCCCGACCCGCAGCCGCCGCCGCGCCTCGACCGCTCGCTGCCCACCGTGCGTACACACTGCACACTGCACACTGCACACTGCACGCTGCCCACCGTGCGTACACACTGCACACTGCACGCTGCCCACCGTGCGTATACACTGCTCACTGCACACTGTGCGGCGCGCTGCTGGGCGCACACACGGCGTTGCCGCCGCTCCCCGACCCGCAGCCGCCGCCGCGCCTTGACCGCTCGCTGCCCACCGTGCGTACACACTGCACACTGCATACTAGACACTGCGCACTACGCGCTGCGCACTACACACTGCATACTACACACTGCATACTACACACTGCATACTACATTCTGCACACTACACACTGCAAACTACACGCTGCACACTACACACTCCACACTGCACACTACACGTTGCACACTGCATCCTACACACTGTGCGATGATGCTTTTATCGTTAAAGTTATAGCCTATATACGTCACACTGCTGAGCACAGGCCTCCTCTCATTTCTGAGAGGGTTTTAGGGTAAGGAAGTATCCGCCGCACTGCCCTAATGCGTTTTGGTGAACTTCATATGTCTTTGAAATATATTTTTTTCTTATTTCGTAGACATGCAGGTTTCCTCATGATGTTTTCTTTCACCGTCGAGAACGTAGTAAATTAGTATTTAAAATTGCAATTGACAATTTCATTGGTCGACACTAACCAATGAAATTGTCAATTGCTCGAAACGGCAATCGAATCCGGATTGCTCGAGTACTTTGAAATTTACAGCGAACGCTGTCTGAGCCACGGCACGGTAATTTTAGTTATTATTTGTTTATGTTAAAATACGTGTGTTACATCACTTGTCTAAGAATCTATATGGTTAATGCGCAAAGGGTAATGAATAATAGTACTAGGAGTTATAAGTTTGTCATTACAAGCTACAACTGACTCGCAGATCGTTTCATCACAACTCATTATGTTGTTCGTCTTAAACAGTCACACTAAATTATTAACCGACTTCAAACAGGATAAGGTTCCCAATTCAAGTGTGTTTTTTTATTTGTATGTTACGCGATATCTTCGCGGATTGTAAACCAATTTTGACGATTCTAGTTTTATTAAATAGGTTATACCTACTTTAAGAATAGTTCCATATAAGTTTGAAGAAAAAACTTCACCCCTAATAATAGCAAATAAATAACTTATTTTTTAGCTATTTGAAGTCGGTTTTTACTTTTTCTTAAAGTTATGATTATTTAGTGGCAAATGAATACTTTTTACATACATTACTTTACTTTTCATACAATTTTTTTTTTATAGGATAAGGGTGACAAACGAGCACACAGTCCACCTGATGGTAAGTGGTTGCTGCGGCCCATAGACTTCTACATCTATCCTCCATTACAAATCAAAATGTAGATGCGTTGTCACCCGTGAGGACCAAGATGGAATGCCTCATTTCCAGTAAAAAAGGCCTCCGGCCACCTGCACTCACCAAGCGAAACGCAGAGGCACATGAGTAAAGAAACCGACCAGAGGGGAAGCTACATACAAACGTCTCGCTACGGGTACACCCACACATAGCGCAGCGATGTGTGCGTGAGCTCTCACCGACAGGTTCACCGACGCTCCGTCGGGGTACAAACCGGTTTGCGCCGGCTCAGTCGGAGTGGGAATGAAAGGGCTGTTGGTCACGCGCATTGAAATAAATAGACAAATAATATTTCGTGATTTTATAGATCAATAAATCTATTAATTTTTTTTTACAATTAGAGAAGTTTAGAGATTGTGTACTATAAAATAAGACATTATAGATTTATAAGTATATATTTATATTAGATAATTAGAGTTCGTATAAGCTAAATGCCTAAATTGTACAGTATATATGAAAAATTCGATAGAAAATAATACAATAGCCAGACAGTAGTGCAGTTAGTGTTAATGGTAGTAGTGCTGGTGATGGTGATGGTGGACGGTGGTGCTGATCGTGCGGTGTTGGTAGCGGTGGTAATAGTGTCAGTGATTGTGGTGGTGCTGGTAGTATCATTGGTGGGGGTGGTGATGGATAGCGGACCGCCACTGGCACTACCACCACGACCAGCATCACCACCACAGCCCTCTCATTCTGGTAGTAACATTGGTGGTGGTGGTGTATCAACACCGCCACTGCTCACTACCATCATCACAGTAATACCATCTGATTTTTTGTACTCATGAATACGTTGTCTTACGAAAATGATATTGATAGAAATATAGATATGTTATGTAATGTGAAGCTAAGCATGAAAATAAGCAAAATATACAATTTTTGCAGTTTCAGTTTTAATTACAAATAACAGACATGTTTTATATAAACTTAAGTTACAATGAATACACATGTTATTTTATACAATATAATATTTTTATTTTTTCCTTAAAATTTTCACTTGCGTCAGGTGATAACTCTATCAGAATAGGTATAGATTTTCGACGTTCTTAGAAAGCTTCCCCTCTGGTCTTCTTTACTCTGTGGCAGAGGTAAACCTCTACTTTACGCTGGTTTTCTGTGAGGTCGTGGTACTACCCCGGTTCGAGCCGGCCCATCCGTGCGACAGCAAAAGCTGCCGCGTGGCTCTACCACTGATTATGATTTGTAGACATTGGGAGTGAATGTAAATACTTCTATGTATACTACTACACGGGTTCTGCGACCTTAATATATTGCGCACTAAGTTACGGTCAATTGTCCATAACTTTTTTAGTTGACTGTGAGCTGACGAGAAGACCAGTTCTTTGTTTTGTAAACTGCAAACATTGTTTTCGACATTCATTTAATATAGATTTTGTTTAATATGACTAAGAAAACGCTGTCTTTATGTATTTTTGTACTTAGTGTATAATGTAACTTTATCTCGTATTTGCCTAAAAATTAAAATTCTTCTTCGTATTTTCCTAAATGAAATTACCACCCACGCCCGCGCGATTCACAAATGTGACATAGTTTTTGTTCTGAATTACCGATCTAGTAGTATATATAGAAATCTTTGTTTATCACTTTAATTATCAAACGACGATATGTTGACATTGGACCGTGTAGGGAGAACCCTGCACCTTCCCATGGGCCACCAACTACGCGGTTTTACGGATCAAATCTCGAGAGATGCACACTCTTTCTCGCGTACACTCTCTTGATTCTCTACAAAAGTATATTGCGTATCGGATCGTGTAGCGCGTACAGGGGTAAGTGTAAGGGTGCGTGTGCAGATCCCGCTGTACACGCACATGCGCGTGAGCGGCACGCAGGCGGTGCGGCGGCCGCCCACGCCCGAGCTGGTGCGCGCCACGCGGCTGCGGCGCGGCGCCACGCCGGCGCGCCGCACCAGGTTCGGCGCGCCGCTCTAGTGGCCGCATAGCCGCCTCACCGCGACCTTGCACACAATCACCAGATGCCGCTAGTTGGGAGTAAGCTTATTTGTTAACTTGTGTCGTCATCCTTGAAAACTTACGATTTAATTTAAAATTCCTGATGGCAGTGAAAGTCGCGACTACCCTCATTTATTAACCAAAACAATAGTACAAGTAGTATACATAGAAGCCTTTACTATTCGCTTTACTTTTTATCTGATTATTTGCTGACATTGTAACAAGTAGCATGTACAAGGAAGGACCAACGTGCGGCGCGGCGCGCGAAATTCGGCACGTCGCTACTCTGTAATAACCGCGTCACCGCAACGTTGCAGACAATTCACTAACTGACACAACAGCTGACGTACTGCTTTTTATAAAAAAACAATAATACTAACAATGTTATTAACACCTAAATAGGGTAACAAAGGACGAACTTAATGACTATTGGCATTCATTGACGGTCAACTCGTGACTCATAATGAGATTTTATGGCAGGTGCAATTACATACATATTGTACTAAGATATACATGTAATTTACAAAATCTATACATATAGTGTATGTTAATATAAAAACATGTTCCCTTTAACCACTCCTGGTAAGCTTAAACCGATGCTATAGTTTTTGTTCTGTATTGTCGATCTACTATAGTATAGTCTTTGATTACTGCATTACTGCAGACAGCCGTTGCAATAAACACCGCAACGCTGTAAACAATCTAATAGCTGACACAAGAACCACCATCTCGATATAATGTGACTGACAACTCTATTATCGACAAAACTTGCAGTAGCCAAATGACAGGGTGCGGACCGCGAACTCCAAAGGTCGTGGGTTCAAGCTCGCCATTTGACTACTGTCGTAAACCAGTTATCAAGAGTGGTTAAAGGCAATATTAGTATTGTTAATAACATTGATAATATAAAAAAAAAAACTAGAAACTATATTGGATTAAATATGTTATTAAAAACCCAAGATGTACATCTTTTACACTCTTAACATTATGTTTACGTGTATTACGTGTTCGTATGGTTTCTTATCCTCCTTGATCTCCAGTTACAGCGTTTTCACTGTTAGCAGTTACCTTAAACTTAAAGCTCCGATTGACGGACGAGGCAGTAAAGAATATGACGGTTTCGCGGCTGGTTCCTGAAACATTGTCGAGCCAAACGGTTATTCTTTATGAAGCAACGTGTCGAATTTCATAACGGCTCGTGTAAACCGACACCGCAGTAAAGCTCGCTCGTCGATCAGGCCGATCAGCTTTTAGGCCCGCTCTATACATACGGAATTCCGTTTCGAGATTCCGTTTCGGAATTTCGAACGGTCGGCCACACACAAACGGAATCCCGTTTTGCCCGCAAAATATCGAACGGAAAACTACCGTACGTGTGTGGCGGGTCATAGATTTTATATGGACTTGCTGCGTTCGGGATTCCGAATCGGAATATCGAAACGGAATCTCGAAACGGAATTCCGTATGTATGTGTCCGGCCTTAGATGAGCGATTTTTCAAACGAAATTTCTCATTTATTTCAACTAACGCCCGCCACAAACATACGGAATTCCGTTTCGATATTCCGTTTCGGAATTCCGAACGGTCGGCCACACACAAACGGAATCCCGTTTTGCCCGCAAAATATCGAACGGAAAACTACCGTACGTGTGTGGCGGGTCATAGATTTTATATGGACTTGCTGCGTTCGGGATTCCGAATCGGAATATCGAAACGGAATCTCGAAACGGAATTCCGTATGTATGTGGCCGGCCTAAATAGATGATTTACTCTTTGGTGTGTGTATACCAAAATAAATTTCCCATTTTTAAATAGGTACTTTTGTTGACTTAATTGAATAAACAGAATGTTAGAAAGAAATTCTCGCTGCTTGCGGAGCTAAAACTCTTTCACAATTTGTACTGATTTAAAAATTTTTTTTTGACTTAAAAATCAAAGGACTTTACTTGCTTTTAAATAAATTTTAATAACTTTCTTAAACATACTTATTTAACTTTACTTATATAATATGTAATAATTTTTTTTTACTTATTAGTTTGTTATTAATTACTGGTTCCATAGAATTATTACTCTGTGATCTGTGCTCACTTTTTTATTTTATATATCTATATGCATGACTTATTTGTAAAGTGTTTTGAATTTTAAAATAAATAAAAAAAAACAATAACGCAACCCATTGTTTTAATAAATGATCACTGGCAAACGACATTAACTTACGAACAGAATGACGAATAAGAATAATCTAAATAAGAATTATAATCACAGGACTGTTGTTGTGTACTCGATCGATCGCGTTTTGATATTGTACCTCGCGAAACTCAGTGTCAGACAAAGAAGAAAAGAGTTTTGAAGGGTTAAGTAGTAGTAGTAATAGACCGCACATCTGCAGCAAAATTGTCGTTTGTAACTTTTGTCCTATGGGATATATCTCCGATTTTTGTCATTTAGTCTTAGTGACATCGTCAAAAAGTCAAGAAAATATGCCCGGTTGTGCATTAAGATATTGTAAGTCACAATATGGAGCAAAAAATGAACGTGATTTCGGTTTATTATCGTAAGTGTAACATATATTTACCGGATTATCTTTAAATTATATTATTTCTAGTAGATTGTTCTAGAACATTTATTTTTATTGTATTAAGCGCCCTCTGTTATCCAGTAAACGTCACTATTTAGTTACCAATGTTAAAGTTTGTGATTGACGACGTTATCGATTGGGGTTATCGTTAAAAAATATATAGGATGCCGATTTCATCCTTTACAATATTTAAGGAGGTAAAACAGTCAACGATACTGTACCTATACCAACAAAAATGAGTAGCATATACCAACTATACTAAGTAGCCTACTTTATGTGGAGCAAGGGTGGGAAATTTTTTTTAGGCATGCTGATGAAATTTTCTTTGTTGCTTATGAGCATGCTGAGGATACTTGCTGTATTGATGTTTAGCAATACAGCAAGTCTTCTCTTTTACATACCAGGCTTCATGGTCTGGTGGTTTTACACCGGGCTTCATTGTCTGGTGGTTTTCAAGGACAAAGCCATTATAGATCCTGGCTTTCAGTGATATGAGAGGGCTAGGTTTGTTACATTAAAAACAATTTGTACTGTTAAAGATATTAGATGCAAGAAGTTGTAGGTTAAGCCTGAGTTAGAAAATAAGGTAAAAACTTAAAATAACAATTTTTGTTGATGTGGTTAGTGTCTTGAAGTTCTGCAGCCGATGAAACATGAAAAATCGTGAAACGGCTTCTAAGTTCACTGTTTTCCTAAAATATTTTAGTTTTGAAGTGTATTTTTGAAAAAAAAACGAATTTAAAAACATAGAGGCACTCTCTTATTGGATTTGGCGTTTCTCGATGTGTCTTTAACGCTGACTGATCAATCATATGCTATTATTATAGCAGCTAATGGACAGAGTGACCTCATCCAAGATGCCACGAAGGTGGCAACCAAAGTGACTTGATTTGCTGTTCGAATTGATTCTTAGTTATTGGAAATTAAATATTTTATTTCAGGACACTAAAGTCATGATAAATAGATTTATACAATAAAACAATCATGTATATTCCCCATTATTATAACGAAAAGCATTTCAAACTTAGTAATCTTCAACAACATTATCGATACTTTGATATCGAATCGGTAACATTCCTAAAACGACGTTATATTTATTAGCGTCACCTACTGGGGAATAGCTAAAATATTGTCTTAATAAATGCTTAGCGTTGTTTTGCTATTGTTAGCTAGAGGGCGCCACACGCGCACTAGCTCAAAGTTTTTGTATATAAATGTTCCCAAATGCCCGCTCTAGTGTATATATATATATATATATATTGTATATCTTATTTAAATATGAAAAATTGTTTCTTATAGTGGGTTAAAAAAATAAGGAACTATGATCCATCGTCTCTATGAAACAAATATCTTATGAGAGTATCACATTAATCAGTCAAGGCATTATATTAAGTAACAGCCCATATACGTCCTACTGCTGGGCACAGGCCTCCTCTCATTTCAGTGTTTTAGGGCAAGGAAGTGTCCGCCGCGCTGTCACAGCCGTGGTAGCTCAGGGCCTAACTGCTCGCTGTAAGTTTTACAGAACGCGAGCAAGCCGGGTTTGATTCCCACCGGCATCAATTAATTTGTTAATTGCAATTTTAAGTGCTGATTTACCACCACCTGAATTCATTCATTCAAGAAAACATCGTGAGCAAACTTGCAAGTTTGAGAACTAAGAACAAAAAACATGTGTGCAGTTCGCACAAGGTATAAGTGAATGAAACCTTCAAATGAAATGAAATATAAAACAAAAACATTTCACAACAAATTACTTAATTTGATAATTTTCAACCACAAGTCCAGCATAAAGACAAAAGTTTGATTTTATAGCAAATAAATGCTACTATCCTTATTTTTAGACGTTAGAGCCTAAATTTTAGTGTATTAACACTTTCACTGTCCGGTTTTCAGACACAATAGTAAGACAATAGCAATGACCTATTATATGTAATGCACGGGACAGCGAAAGGGTTAAGCCGAAAGAATCGACGTCTACTTCGATCTATAGGTAAAATAATTTTATGGAATAAAATTTTATTGACTCTCCAGGTAGTCCGTAAAATAGGCACTAGATGGCTTAAATAACGACTAATTTAATATAAATCGGTAAGTTAAGAAATCACGGATTGTTATGAATGGCTTGAATATGATAATTTTATTCAATATACATAATACATTTTATTTGATAATGAATTAATATATTTTTTAATTTTACCGGTAAAAGTTATATTAACGATCTTTAAAGCACCGCACACAGAGGAGACCGATATAATAGGAAATACTTCTTACTGAACTAGCCGTTTCCCGCGGTATCACCCGCGCATATCACGCTCTCGGTTGTCATCGGGTGGCTAGGCGTCCATTGCGTGCCGAGCTGAGTTCAGTATTTTAATTATCTTTTAAACTATTGGACGCCAAATAACATGCGCAGAGTTTATCTTCATAAGCTTGTCTTGATGATGAAGTAACTTTCGTTCGTAAGGATTAATATGCTATGCCTAACAATATCGCTCGTAAATCACTTTTTAATTTTCAATATTTTTTTTTATATAAAGACTAAGGCCTATGGTATCGCATGCCTTTTTTAGATGGAGAAAATATCTATATTTTTGTAGAACATTGTATTATATAGATATCATAAGTCAAAAAGCTGTCTACAAGTCTGTGCATTCAGTAAAATATATCCGTTAACTTTTTAATATTTATTGGACACAGTTCAGGTTCCAAGAATATTAAACTGATTAGCAAGTTATAGGGAAATTTTATTAGATTGGGAACACCGAGTCCACGTACTCGTAAACATTTTTTAGCTTCATGTTGGTACTTGACCGCATTCCGTCTTTATCTTGATATGACAACAACTTAAAATAATAAAAGCACTGCGGTTGCCAACCCGTCTGCACCCTGGCAACTATGGCAAAGTTCCCACATGAGGCAATCTATAATGGAGGCCTATGTTTTGTAGTGGATTTTTATAAGCTGTTAACATCGATCACTAATACAAAACTAGATACTCAATCCCATGCAAAAGTTCTCTAAAAACTGTCGCCAATTGTTTTGACGTAATTCTTGTTGAGATAAATATACATTCATGTAAATTCAACCTTAAGTGCATTGCCTAAAGTTGTATTCACAAAGCTACGTACAAATTAAAAGCGAACCCAAATGTTCGAGTGGGCGCTCATTAGGTAAGGACATTTTTTCTCACTGATTGTGTATCCAGTTTTTATTAGTGATCGATGGCTATTAATGATGGATGCATGCATTGAATAAATAAATAAATTGAGGAATGTAATGAAAAAGAAGCAGATATGAGAAAATAATTTATTGAATAATACAACGAATGTACAATAAGTGCCCACAGCGCCATCTGGCCACAAGTCCTGGCAACTTGTTCGAACAAGACGACAACAATTAACAACACTGAAGAGTTCTAGGAGGTCAGGCCTTGTGACAGATCGCTGCACCAACACAATGCTTATGTACAACAGTAATTACAAGTGAGATCGGAACTATTCTCAGAAAAGCTATGAGACGCCAAATTCTATTGAGCAAGGTGAAAAAAAATCACGACACTTTTATGCTTATCTTTCATTGCGTGCACAGAAACACTATTAAAAAATAATTTGTGACAATCAACTTTAAAATCATTTTAATAAAAAATAATTTATGTTAAAAAATATACCAATAAATTTATGAAGTGCAGATACTTTAATTGAGTCTCAAAATGACGTATTTAGCAGTCTGTCACGTAAACGCAGAAATGGTAAACCTACCATTTATCTCTTTCTTTCGTATGACTTTATTGTCTGGTCTTTTTCTTTATCCCACTCAACATTTTTAATATAAAAGCTTGTACGCTCTGCATATCTTGGAACGATTAATGACTTTTATTTTTTGGGCGTAAAATATCTATACTTTTTATTCTATAGCTATAATACTTACTGAGATTGTCTAAGTTTCATACATATGTATTTTTTCTAAACTTAGGCAATCTATAATATATTAAATAAGTAGTTGAATTTTTGTTTATACTTATTGCAAGGACTAACAGTAAACTATAAACATGGGAAGCATCTGCTGGAATAAAATGCGATAAATATAAAAAATCTTTGGAATGTTGTATTTCATGCTATTTTTATTTTTATTTCGATGTTAATTGTGAACTACCAGTATAACTAAAATATTTTATAATTTTCCTATTGTTGGAAACACGTGCGTCGTCATTACAATAATTATAAAACAAATACATAATGGGCACTAGTCAAGTAAATCGATGAGTAGTGCTCGTCCCTGTCAATCACAGAGTTTTGCAGCGACGTAAATTAATTTTACGAGGTGAAACGTTTTTGGTGTATTCAGAAAATATTATTTAATATGAACAAGTCACGATCGCGAGCGATTCTAACATAGGCACCGTCATCACTGACTATGTATGTCCGGTATCACGTTTGATCATAGCGCGGTGCGTGCACGTAGTTTGCGCGCAACGAGCACGCAGTGAGCACGCAGCGGGCACGCAGTGAGCACGCAACGGGCACGCAGCGGGCACGCAGCTAGCGGCGCCGCGAATACTGCAGGCCGAGCTCGTCGACGACTTCCTGTATGGCGGCGAGGCACGCGTCCAGCTGCTCGCGACTGTGCGCCGCTGACAGGCAGAACCTGGAGTCACCACACAGTGTTTTAAGCTCTCAGATTTGCACAACAACAAACACCAAACATCAACATAGTTAAGATTCAGGAACAGTGCTGAAAGCTTTAACAACAAATATGAGGATGACATGTATTAACTACTTTTTTTTATAGGATAGGGTGACAAACGAGCACACAGTCCACCTGATAAGTGGTTGTTGCGGCCCATAGACATCTACATCTATCCTCGTTTGCGAATCAAAATGCAAATGCGTTGTCACCCGTGTAGGACTAAGATGGAATGCCTCTTTTCCAGTAAAAAGGGTCTCCGGTTCTCTACACTCACCATACGAAACACAGCGGCGTTAAGCTGCTATTCTACGCTGGTATTCTGTGAGAGCGTGGTCCTTCTTAGGTCGAGCCGACCAATTCGTGCTACAACCATAATATAGCTGCAGCATGGCTCTACCACGTATAAAACCAATTGACGTGGTCAAAACAAGTCTGTCTACTGAAAGTATGACACCTTGGTTTGACCATCAATAACAATTATGCAGTGGAAACAGCGTCTTCATAACATGTTGTGAGTAATCTAATATCAAAAGCTTAGTCGGCACATTTTGGGATCAACAGGTTTTTATGATTTCCAAACCGTATTACTAGGTTGATATTAAAGAAACTTAACATTATAGGCTGTAACGAATGGATGGAAACATCAAGTTGGCTATTAAACATTACAAGATTTTACTTTATAACCGGCTGTGCCCGGCGTGCGTTGGAATGCTTCTCTTATGGCTGACTCGGCACTCTGAATTTCATTCAAGCCCGTTAACGTGCGAAAACATTGCGTGAGGTAATCGACTTGTCAAAGCAATTAAAAAAATATTTCAAGGTCATGTAATGTTCGTCAAACACATGGGGACACTAGTTGGACTCTTCTCCAAAAAACACTCAATGATAAGAGAGACCTGGGTCCAGCAGTGAGAGTTACGTTTATAGGCTGTAAATTGACTTTACAAATTAGTTATATTGATTTCCCCCTATGAGGCGTAAGGGGGAGGCCTGTTCAGCAGTGGATTTTTGTAGGCTGAATGGAATTGATTGATGTCAAAATAAAGTCAATTTTGATAGTTCTTTGACGCTCAGCAAGCTATGAAAAAGGCTATGACTTATTTATGAGGATATTTACAGCCTAACGGATCAGTAAGCTGAAGTGGAAATGGGTCACTAGATAGAGTGACGATCTGATAAGATTGCAAGTGGCTTAGGACTGTGCTCTATACTCGTAGCATTCCTTTTGGTTGGTTGGTGTGTATTGCGTGTGGTGATTATGGTGAGTGTAGTGAGTGTCAGGTGCGTGGTACGTAAGGTTGGTGTGTCTTTTGCGTGTGGTGCTTATGGTGTGTGTGGTGAATGTCAGGTGCGTGGTGCATATGGTTCGTGTGTCATTTGCGTGTGGTGCTTATGGTGAGTGCAGTGAGTTTCAGGTGCGTGGTACGTAAGGTTTGTGTGTCTTTTGCGTGTGCTGCTTATGGTTTGTGTGGTGAATGTCAGGTGTGTGGTGCGTATGGTTGGTGTGTCTATTGCGTGTGGTGGTTATGGTGAGCGTGGTGAGTGTCAGGTGCGTGGTGCTTACGGTTTGTGTCTTTTGCGTGTGGTGCATATTGTAAGCTTGGTGTGTGTGGTGAGTGTGTGAGTCTCGTTACCGTAAGCGCGCCTTGTAGAGGGGCGTGGCGGGGAAGCCGACGCCGACGGTGGCGATGCCGCGCGCCGTGAGCCGCTCCACGACGGCCGCCATGTTGCTGAACGTGTACACCAGCATCGGCACCACCGGCGAGTCGCCGTGCCCGTACGTCACCACGCCCATCTCGCGCAGCCTGCAACGTACATTTACACAATTACATTAAGGTAGTGTGTTGGCAGTGTAAGAGATTCAAACACTTCATCTTGGCCCATCAGTTTGTATGGGGCGATTTTTTTATAGAATATGGGTGACAAACGAACACACTCCACTTGATTGTAAGTGGATGTTGTAGCCATCTACGTCAATTCTAGATAAAGAAGCGGAAGTGCAGCGAAAGTAGTGCGTGTTGTCGCGCACGTGTACCTGCGGCGGAAGTAGTGCGTGTTGTCGCGCACGTGTACCTGCGGCGGAAGTAGTGCGTGTTGTCGCGCACGTGTACCTGCGGCGGAAGTAGTGCGTGTTGTCGCGCACGTGTACCTGCGGCGGAAGTAGTGCGTGTTGTCGCGCACGTGTACCTGCGGCGGAAGTAGTGCGTGTTGTCGCGCACGTGTACCTGCGGCGGAAGTAGTGCGTGTTGTCGCGCACGTGTACCTGTGGCGGAAGTAGTGCGTGTTGTCGCGCACGTGTACCTGCGGCGGAAGTAGTGCGTGTTGTCGCACACGTGTACCTGCGGCGGAAGTAGTGCGTGTTGTCGCGCACGTGTACCTGCGGCGGAAGTAGTGCGTGTTGTCGCGCACGTGTACCTGCGGCGGAAGTAGTGCGTGTTGTCGCGCACGTGTACCTGCGGCGGAAGTAGTGCGTGTTGTCGCGCACGTGTACCTGCGGCGGAAGTAGTGCGTGTTGTCGCGCACGTGTACCTGCGGCGGAAGTAGTGCTTGTTGTCGCGCACGTGTACCTGCGGCGGAAGTAGTGCGTGTTGTCACGCACGTGTAACTGCGGCGGAAGTAGTGCGTGTTGTCGCGTACGTGTACCTGCGGCGGAAGTAGTGCGTGTTGTCGCGCACGTGTACCTGCGGCGGAAGTAGTGCGTGTTGTCGCGCACGTGTACCTGCGGCGGAAGTAGTCCGTGTTGTCGCGCACGTGTAACTGCGGCGGAAGTAGTGCGTGTTGTGGCGCACGTGTACCTGCGGCGGAAGTAGTGCGTGTTGTGGCGCACGTGTACCTGCGGCGGAAGTAGTGCGTGTTGTGGCGCACGTGTACCTGCGGCGGAAGTAGTGCGTGTTGTCGCGCAGCGTGCGCACGCGGCGCAGGCCGGCCGGGGTGCGCAGCGCGCGCATGGCGGCGAGCACCTGCGTGTTGTGGCGCACGTGTACCTGCGGCGGAAGTAGTGCGTGTTGTCGCGCACGTGTACCTGCGGTGGAAGTAGTGCGTGTTGTCGCGCACGTGTACCTGCGGCGGAAGTAGTGCGTGTTGTCGCGCACGTGTACCTGCGGCGGAAGTAGTGCGTGTTGTCGCGCACGTGTACCTGCGGCGGAAGTAGTGCGTGTTGTCGCGCACGTGTACCTGCGGCGGAAGTAGTGCTTGTTGTCGCGCACGTGTACCTGCGGCGGAAGTAGTGCGTGTTGTCACGCACGTGTAACTGCGGCGGAAGTAGTGCGTGTTGTCGCGTACGTGTACCTGCGGCGGAAGTAGTGCGTGTTGTCGCGCACGTGTACCTGCGGCGGAAGTAGTGCGTGTTGTCGCGCACGTGTACCTGCGGCGGAAGTAGTCCGTGTTGTCGCGCACGTGTAACTGCGGCGGAAGTAGTGCGTGTTGTGGCGCACGTGTACCTGCGGCGGAAGTAGTGCGTGTTGTGGCGCACGTGTACCTGCGGCGGAAGTAGTGCGTGTTGTGGCGCACGTGTACCTGCGGCGGAAGTAGTGCGTGTTGTCGCGCAGCGTGCGCACGCGGCGCAGGCCGGCCGGGGTGCGCAGCGCGCGCATGGCGGCGAGCACCTGCGTGTTGTGGCGCACGTGTACCTGCGGCGGAAGTAGTGCGTGTTGTCGCGCACGTGTACCTGCGGTGGAAGTAGTGCGTGTTGTCGCGCACGTGTACCTGCGGCGGAAGTAGTGCGTGTTGTCGCGCTCGTGTACCTGCGGCGGAAGTAGTGCGTGTTGTGGCGCACGTGTACCTGCGGCGGAAGTAGTGCGTGTTGTCGCGCACGTGTACCGGCGGTGGAAGTAGTGCGTGTTGTCGCGCACGTGTACCTGCGGCGGAAGTAGTGCGTGTTGTCGCGCACGTGTACCTGCGGCGGAAGTAGTGCGTGTTGTCGCGCACGTGTACCTGCGGCGGAAGTAGTGCGTGTTGTCGCGCACGTGTACCTGCGGCGGAAGTAGTGCTTGTTGTCGCGCACGTGTACCTGCGGCGGAAGTAGTGCGTGTTGTCGCGCACGTGTACCTGCGGCGGAAGTAGTGCGTGTTGTCGCGCACGTGTACCTGCGGCGGAAGTAGTGCTTGTTGTCGCGCACGTGTACCTGCGGCGGAAGTAGTGCGTGTTGTCACGCACGTGTAACTGCGGCGGAAGTAGTGCGTGTTGTCGCGTACGTGTACCTGCGGCGGAAGTAGTGCGTGTTGTCGCGCACGTGTACCTGCGGCGGAAGTAGTGCGTGTTGTCGCGCACGTGTACCTGCGGCGGAAGTAGTCCGTGTTGTCGCGCACGTGTAACTGCGGCGGAAGTAGTGCGTGTTGTGGCGCACGTGTACCTGCGGCGGAAGTAGTGCGTGTTGTGGCGCACGTGTACCTGCGGCGGAAGTAGTGCGTGTTGTGGCGCACGTGTACCTGCGGCGGAAGTAGTGCGTGTTGTCGCGCAGCGTGCGCACGCGGCGCAGGCCGGCCGGGGTGCGCAGCGCGCGCATGGCGGCGAGCACCTGCGTGTTGTGGCGCACGTGTACCTGCGGCGGAAGTAGTGCGTGTTGTCGCGCACGTGTACCTGCGGTGGAAGTAGTGCGTGTTGTCGCGCACGTGTACCTGCGGCGGAAGTAGTGCGTGTTGTCGCGCACGCGTACCTGCGGCGGAAGTAGTGCGTGTTGTGGCGCACGTGTACCTGCGGCGGAAGTAGTGCGTGTTGTCGCGCACGTGTACCTGCGGTGGAAGTAGTGCGTGTTGTCGCGCACGTGTACCTGCGGCGGAAGTAGTGCGTGTTGTCGCGCACGTGTACCTGCGGCGGAAGTAGTGCGTGTTGTCGCGCACGTGTACCTGCGGCGGAAGTAGTGCGTGTTGTCGCGCACGTGTACCTGCGGCGGAAGTAGTGCGTGTTGTCGCGCACGTGTACCTGCGGCGGAAGTAGTGCGTGTTGTCGCGCACGTGTACCTGCGGTGGAAGTAGTGCGTGTTGTCGCGCACGTGTACCTGCGGCGGAAGTAGTGCGTGTTGTCGCGCACGTGTACCTGCGGCGGAAGTAGTGCGTGTTGTCGCGCACGTGTACCTGCGGCGGAAGTAGTGCGTGTTGTCGCGCACGTGTACCTGCGGTGGAAGTAGTGCGTGTCGTCGCGCACGTGTATCTGCGGCGGAAGTAGTGCGTGTTGTCGCGCACGTGTACCTGCGGCGGAAGTAGTGCGTGTTGTCGCGCACGTGTACCTGCGGCGGAAGTAGTGCGTGTTGTCGCGCACGTGTACCTGCGGCGGAAGTAGTGCGTGTTGTCGCGCACGTGTACCTGCGGTGGAAGTAGTGCGTGTCGTCGCGCACGTGTATCTGCGGCGGAAGTAGTGCGTGTTGTCGCGCACGTGTACCTGCGGCGGAAGTAGTGCGTGTTGTCGCGCACGTGTACCTGCGGCGGAAGTAGTGCGTGTTGTCGCGCACGTGTACCTGCGGCGGAAGTAGTGCGTGTTGTCGCGCACGTGTACCTGCGGTGGAAGTAGTGCGTGTTGTCGCGCACGTGTACCTGCGGCGGAAGTAGTGCGTGTTGTCGCGCACGTGTACCTGCGGCGGAAGTAGTGCGTGTTGTCACGCACGTGTACCTGCGGCGGAAGTAGTGCGTGTTGTCGCGCACGTGTACCTGCGGTGGAAGTAGTGCGTGTTGTCGCGCACGTGTACCTGCGGCGGAAGTAGTGCGTGTTGTCGCGCACGTGTACCTGCGGCGGAAGTAGTGCGTGTTGTCGCGCACGTGTACCTGCGGCGGAAGTAGTGCGTGTTGTCGCGCACGTGTACCTGCGGTGGAAGTAGTGCGTGTCGTCGCGCACGTGTATCTGCGGCGGAAGTAGTGCGTGTTGTCGCGCACGTGTACCTGCGGCGGAAGTAGTGCGTGTTGTCGCGCACGTGTACCTGCGGCGGAAGTAGTGCGTGTTGTCGCGCACGTGTACCTGCGGCGGAAGTAGTGCGTGTTGTCGCGCACGTGTACCTGCGGTGGAAGTAGTGCGTGTCGTCGCGCACGTGTATCTGCGGCGGAAGTAGTGCGTGTTGTCGCGCACGTGTACCTGCGGCGGAAGTAGTGCGTGTTGTCGCGCAGTGTGCGCACGCGGCGCAGGCCGGCCGGGGTGCGCAGCGCGCGCATGGCGGCGAGCACCTGCGCGGCCACCGGCGGCGACATCGCGTGCGCGTACGTGTGCGCGTGCCCGTGCGCGCGGATCCACTTGATCAGCTTCGCGGAACCTACGAGATATACCGTTACGGTTACCCTTACAGCCTACTAAACTGAACATAGGCCTAGATAGCATAGATTAACTCAAGCAATATGGGGGAATTTGCCATAGTTGCCACGCTTAGCAACCGCAGATTTTATTTTTTATTTAATTTAGTAAGGCTCGAAGGACCAAAACGTTTTATTTTTATTTTTTTAATTCACTTTTGAAGGAGACTAGAAGTACCTACCAAAATGTTTATTATTATTTTCATTTAATTTAAGCTCGAAAGGCCAAAATGTATACTGCGTTTAAAGTTAAAACCTTTTCATCTTTAACCACCTCATTAGAAACCGTTTTGTGCAGCATCATAAATCACACTTAAAATTTTATTAAAAAACAGAACTGTGTTACCAGCATAAGTAACAATTTTACCATTTATAATGTTGAGCCCCACCATTAATGCCTGATACATGGTAACACTAGTTACCACTAGCGCCCCCAGTATCGAGTAGCAGAACTAGGAGAGTCAAGATCCTTATAGAAATTTCCATGGAAGAACTTTCTAGAACTATCGACACATAGTCAATTGGGACCGATATGTACTCGAACATTCTAGATGTTTCTACAGTAGAAGATTCTGGAACTATCTGAGGCCCTATGTAAGGCCGGTATAGACCGCGACCGCAGTCTGTTGAGTTGGCTATACAAGCGAATACTTCGAAGCGATACAACTGCGAACTAAAGTGATCAGTAGTACAATTGTGATTTGTTATTAGTGTGGTTTTAAGTGTAATTAGTGTTCTCTAATTAAAGTGTCAATTTTTGTAATTCACTCTGCAGTTTTTAAGTGTCTCGAACCCCGAGCCCGTAATAATAAGTTCCGCCTGACACACTACGTTTATTTAAATTAAGGGGAGAGTGGGGCCTAACTCATACACACTATGTGGGTAATCGCCATGCGACTAGCCGTCCGGCTGACCGCAGGATGCGGCTGCGAATGCGGCCAACCAGATTGGGGCAGCATTTGCCAACTGCAAATTGCGATTTTTTTTTTATAGTATAAGAGTGACAAACGAGCGCACAGTCCACCTGGTGGTAAGTGGTTGCTGTGGCCCATAAAATGCAGATGCGTTGTCAGCCATCAGGACTAAATAGAATGCCTCTTTTCCAGTAAAATGGGTCTTGAAGAACCGTTGTGCTTTGCGGTCATGTCGATTCATTTCCGTACCGTGATAAATATGCACCAACTCTTCCCTTGCTCTTTGTTTTAAAATTTTATCGGAATATTCTGGCAATTTGGTGTTCCAAATAGCTAGCCGATTCTGGATTTCAATGATAAATTTTTCGGTAGCCATCAAATTCAAATTTTCAAATTTCAAATTCAAATTCATTTATTTATTTGTGAATACAGTAAGTTAGGTGTTCGTAAAATTTACATTAGGTATCGTGTATTCTACCACAGTGTGGTGTACAAATATTCATTACGATATTGTCAATAGAAGCAAAAGTAATATTTTTAAAATTGATTGCACATTGTTTAGTTAATAAGGCACTTGTATTTAAGAATTAGATTTAGGTACCAACATAGGTTATAAGTTTCATATTTACTAACAAATTTTATGGATCACTTGGTTATCTGAAATAAATTATTATTATTATTATTATTATTATAAAACCATAATCATATGTGTATGTAGTATTAAATATTCAAAAGTGAAAAGCGTCGTGCAATGATACCCATGACAAATAACACATTTCGTAATGGCGCCTTTACGTCTATATTGAGAAAAAAAAAGAAACTGAAGTAAATAAAAATGTCATCTTTTCAAATTATTATTACTATTGTTAAATACACAAGTCAAAAATAAATACTGCATCTTAAGCTAATGTCACGAAATAAACTATATATATTAAAAAAAAAAATACAAATTAAAAATGTCGATGTCATAGGGTTATCAATATTTAATATGTCAAATATATAATACATGGTATGTCAAATCAAATACAAATATTATAATTATGTAATTTCAATGTCATTAAGATATTCATTAATAGAATAGTAAGATTTATTACTTAATAATGTTTTTAATGATTTTTTGAAGGTTTGTATATTATTTATTTTCTTTATATCATTGGGTATTTTATTATAGATGGGTATGGATAGGCAAAATACACTTTTTCGCATTTTTACTGACTTTGATTGTTGAACTTTTAATCTTAAGGGATACCTTCTATTATTTAAATTTTCAAACAATGATAGGTTTCTATAAACAAACACAGCCGTCTCATAGATAAAAAGACAGGGAAAAGTTAGAATTTGCAGCTCTTTAAAATGTGGTTTACAGCTGTCTGTCCAGTGTAGATTTTTGATTGCTCGAATGCACTTTTTTTGAGCTTTGAATACCTTTTCCCGATCCACTGAGTTTCCCCAAAACATAACACCGTACCTAAGTGTTGATTCAACGTATCCAAAATATGCTATACGAAGTGTTTGCGTGTTTGCTCTTTTATTTAATCTATACAAGGCGTATGAAAATTTATATAATTTACTGCAAACACTATCGACCTGTGCCTTCCAGTTCAGTTCGTCATCAATGATAATTCCTAAAAATTTAGTTTCTATCGTTTCATGTATTGCTGAACCTTTATAATGAATATTAATACTTGATAAACTATCTTTTTGCCAATTAAATTTCATAATTTTGTTTTCTCTAAATTTATATTTAAGTTATTTTTTACGAGCCAGTCAATTATAAGACCAATGGAACTGTTAATCTCAATTTCATAGCTTTGGGTATTATTTCCTTCATAAACAACCGTACAGTTATCCGCAAATAGAACCATAGATTGTTGTATGACCGATGGAAGGTCATTAATGTACAAAAGAAATAGAAGTGGCCCCAAAACGCTTCCTTGTGGAACGCCATAGTACACAGCTCGGGATGTCGATCGATAAACCTTCTCTGTCAACTTTATAGGACATATTCTCCTTATTTCAGTAAGTTGCATTCTGTCTGTAATATATGACTCAAAAAGATCTAAAACTGTCCCTCGCAATCCATATTGGTGTAATTTTCTTATTAATATTTTGTGATCCACAAAGTCAAAAGCCTTAGTCATGTCCATGTATAGCGCGGCTACAGGTATTTTTTTGTCTATACAAGTCATAATTTTGTTGAGCATGTCATAAATTGCCGTGTTTACAGATTTATTTTTACGAAATCTTTTTTGCTCGTTTACGAGTATCTTATTATCTTCAAGATATTTATTTAAACGTTTATATAAGACTTTTTCAAAAACTTTCGCAAATATAGTAATCAAAGCAACAGGGCGATAACATCCGACATCATATCTGTCGGTTTTTTTTAAATAATGGTTTTACTATTGACCGTTTTAGAGACTTAGGGAATATGCCTTGTTCTATACATAGGTTTATTATATGACATAAAATACCCGCAATCAATAATGCTGTCTCTTTGACTACTTTAGTAGTTATTCCGTCATACCCTGTGCTTTGGGTATTTTTAAGTGATTTTATAGTTTCATATATTTCAACAGGAGTGACAGGGGCCATAAACATTGACGAAGACTTATTAAATTGTAAACAATAGTTACCTGCGTTCTCTTCATTAACCTGTTTTTTATGCTCCATATTTATAAAGTGATCGTTAAAAGTTTGAGCTATTTCTTTCGGGTTTGTTATTATTCGATTATTATATATAATTTTGTCGATTTGTTTTATAGGGGCATTTGTTCTGTTATTCTTAATAACCTTCCACGTAGCTAAACATTTATTTTTTGCATTTGCTATGTAATAGTTATTCTGTGATCGTTTTGTGAGTTCGATAATTTTCTTTAATTTTTTAGTGTACCATTTAAATTTATCTTTTGAGTCTTTATTAGGATTAAGGCGAAATTTCCATAACTGATTCCTTTTATTGCGGCTACACAACTTAATTCCTTTTGTAATCCATTTCGGTTTTGTTTTTAAAGACATTCTTATCTTTATTGTCGGAAAGCATAAATCATAAGATAATTTATAAATGTCAAAGAAATAATCAAAGGCGTCATTAGGATTATCTAAAGAAATTAGTTCAATGAATGTGAAAGAGTTTAGGCAATCTACAAACTTTTTTAATTTTTTTTTGCAAAAATCGCGTTTGAAAATATACCAATACGTCATTGCATGATGCTTCATTACTGGAATTTTCAGCAGTTGGGCTGTGTGATCTGAGAGTGCAAAATCTCGTATTTCGCTATTTAGGTTTGTGAAATTATGGAATGCATTATCTATGCAGGTACCACTACATAACCTTGTTGGTTCGTTAAATTCAATTTTTAAATTGTAACTACTCAAAATTTGTGTTATGCTATTTGTCAAAATATTAATATAATAAATTAAGCTTTAACATGTCAACATTGAAATCACCAACAATAACAATTTTTTTTTATTTAAAACAGTACTTGTGTAAGATATTTTGCAATATATTTAAAAATGTATCAATATCCCTAGCAGCATTTTTAGGCACTCTGTACATACATATTATAATTATTCTAAATTCAACAAGCTCAATTGCACAACATTCAACTTCATTACTAATGGAAAGAGCTTGAATTTCGTAAATTGTGTTATACTCAATATTACAATCTACTAAAATACAAGCTCCACCGTTTCTATTTCTTCGCAAATAACTTGAGGCTAATTTGAAATTTGGTATACATAGATGTTTAATATCATCTTCAACCATATTGTGCTCGGTTATACAAATAATCCCAATCATTTTATTTTCATCTTTTAATTCCGATAAACACACAGCAAGTAAGTCGGATTTGTTAATAATTCCGTTTATGTTTTGATGCAAGAGATACAGATTATTTTGGACTACGAAAAAACTTTGAAGAATCATCGGGTTCATTAACCACTGATCCTTCCATCGCTATATTACAAATTTCTGTTTGACATGCTTTATCACATTTTGAATACATTTTCGAGTTTCCTGTTACACAAGCAGCGTTCTTTATATAATT